CCGCAATCAATGGCACAGTTTCCTCGTTTCCTACATTTGCCAACCAACAACTTGATATTTGAATGTTGTGCTTGACGTAGAGCTCTGTACCCAACAGATAATTCAGTGCCTGCAATATTTTTGCTGGTCGCACTGTCTCCGTCATAAAATTTTGCTCATATTCCAAGCGACGTTTCAGGTGCACTGGAATAATGTGGCTGTTGTCAAATCTTCGTGGTAGCATGGTGACTGTCTCTGCAACAGAAATCGGGATATTTACTACTGCTCCACGAAWAGCACATTGTCGTTCATATCCTAAAGATATGATGCGCATAAATGGGATTCTCGGTGATATTAGCCTTTCCTCCAGACACGTTAAGTCCTGAAGACATTCCGGAATGTCAGGAAACTCCAATCCTTCTGAGATGCAGATATTTGGTATTTTACCTTGTTTGACAATACGATAGCAGTGCTGTAAAAATTATACTTTTGGTCCGAAGATGGAAACTTCGATGACAAATAAAAGACTTTTATAGCATCTTCCGAGTGCGTGAACTTTGCTGAGGTCTGACGTTTTTCTAGCTTTTTTACTTGGTGAGGGAACCAAGTGCCCCCACAACACACGCATATTTCAGTATTTTTTATGAACAATGCGTACATATCAAAGATATTGGCAGCTCGACGTTGACGTGCTTGTTCTTCTAGCAGTGCATCAGGAGAAAGTTCCCGATGTCTTCTAATATTTCTCCTGGCTTGCCTTACGCTCTCCAACTGACGATTTGCGGGATCCGACCTATAGAATTGTACTCTTTGCAACATTGATTCCTGCTCGTTTGCAAGTTGTTGCATTTTTTGCTGGCGTGTCACTCTTCTTTGAGAAGAATTTAAAATTTGTTCACGATGTCTTGTTATTGGATCTCCTCGACGACTTCTCCTCAATACTGCATCTCGTTGCCTTTCTTCTTCTCTGGTTATTGGATTCTGGCGTCGTACAGTACGCTCCATTGCGTCGCGCTCCTGCTCCTGAGTTCTATATTTCGGACTAAACCGCCTGATTGAATGTCCTATTGTGTCGCGCTCCTGCTCTGCGGTCCTATGTTCGGGATTCGTCCATCTATTGGAGTGTTCCGCAGTATTGCGTCCCTGCTCCTCAACTCTATACTCCGGATTCAAACGCCTGATTGAATGTCCTATTGTGTCGCGCTCCTGCTCTGCGGTTCTATATTCGGGATTCGTCCGTCTGGTGGAGTGTTCCGCAGTGTTGCGCCCCTGCTTCTCAACTCTATACTCCGAATTCAAACGCCTGATTGAATGTGCTATTGTGTCGCGCTCCTGCTCTGCGGTTCTATATTCGGGATTCGTCCGTCTGGTGGAGCATTCCGCAGTGTTGCGTCCTTGCTCCTCAACTCTATACTCCGGATTCAAACGCCTGATTGAATTTCCTATTGTGTCGCTCTCCTGCTCTGCTGCTTTATATTCGGGATTTGTTCGCCTAATTAAATGTTCCGTGGTGTTGCGTTCCTGCTCCTCAGCTCTGTATTCTGAATGAAGTCGTGGGTTTGAATGTCTTATTGCGTCGCGCTCCTGCTCCGCAGCTCTRTGAAGTACGTTTTGTCGTCTACTGGAACGTGCAGAACTGTCCCGAATTCTCTCTTCATTACGGAACTCCAAATTTGTACTACGTAATTGTGCAATATAGTTGGCGTTCCTCAGTCGATTTATTTCCAAATTTTGACTATATTGTTGTCGGCTTCGATTCAAGGCATTGCGACGCCTTTATTCCTGCGACTGCCTAGATACTCTTAGCATTTTTATAAATTAATATAAAATATTTTAACCAATAAAAAATATACAAAAAAATTTACAGTTAAGGATTGTTAATAAATAATAATCTATTTCAAAAAATAATGGTTATTTAAAAAAAAATTCTTTTTTGATAAATTTGAAAGTTGCTTGGTTTTTCAAAGTTTAAGCTGCACGCGTAAACAGAAGTAATCTGATTGTTTTCACTCTTTTTATACAATTTTTTAGAACCGTATATGTAAAATATTTCCAGTTTTTACCTGTTTACACTTTACCTAACCTTCCAACTTTGTATATTACCTAGATCCATCAGTTAATTACGGTTGAATAATTATGCATACATTGTTAATTATTCATAATTATCTGTATTAATATTA